AATTCTTTGTCTTGGTGGTGTTCGGTTCGCAAAAGTATTTTTTTGAAAGAAAAATAAGGAGAGTGGAGCAAATTACGAACGGTGTGATTGCCAAAAGCGATAAAAGTCATAATTATTCTTTGCTTGTTTCTTCCCAAAATGAAAGACTAAAGCCCTTTCCGCCCCCTCAGCAGTGAAAAGTATAAGTTTTACTTAAATATTCTTCACTAACCAGTTTCTCTCAAATTGTTTTGTCTCTCAATAAAGTATAAAAAACAACTATTCTTATGGGTTGCGGAAGTCCATTGTTATCATGCTCTACTAACAGAGAGTAAAAAGCACTTCCTTCGTTGGCTCCTTTTTTTACAGTCACCACTTCACACTTAACTATTTTGCCGGAAAACACGATAGGCGGTTGCTTTTCATAAGTTTTTTCTTTTTCGAGGGGCTGAGGAGTTTCGTTCTCTTGAATTAATTTCTGACCGGCTTCTTTTTCTAAACAGTGAACCGAAGCAAGATAGGCCATCAATTGTGGTTGAGTAAGAATTCTTTCTCCTTTGACATATCAAAAACCACCTTTTCTTTCCAAATTAGCAATTGAATATATTCCCTTATTAAGTAAAGAATTAATTTCCTGAACTATTTCTTTTGACGTAGCCTGAAAATTAACCATTAAAGACAAAGAAGCAAAATTTTCTTTAACTTTTGCGGTAGCCTTTTTTGGCTGATTGAAAATAACCTTTTCTACTTTATATTCCTTAATTTTTTCACTAACTAAACCTATAATATTTTCAATACTCACTTCTCCCCAAGTAAAAAAACGGTAATTCTCTTGCTCACTATCATAAAAACAAACTCCTAATTCAGAGCATTCTTGATTGTAAGGGCTGATTACTAAATATTTATTCATAATAGATTTTTTATTTTTATAATTTAGGAGCAAGCAGACCTTTTCTAATTTAAATGGTCCCTTCGCAATTTAATTTTTACGAGAAAATGAGCAAGTATAGAAAAAACGATATATCAAAAAACTACGGTTATGATTAACCAAATTATCCCTGCCTGTCAACTCGGCGGCCAACTACAACCTAAAAACTTACTTCGTCCGGCTCGTTGCTCGGTCCCATTCGCATACTTGCCTCTAATTCAAAAAAAA